AATACGGAATATAAGATTACGTCATTCTTTTGGCATCCTGGTGCCTGATTTCAGTGTTTTACAAGTCGCTTATTCCGTCTATAAATTAACTTTCTCGTTGGTGGCGCTGTCCAGAATGCGAAAAATAATAAAAAATAAGAGACTTGTGGCAAGTCTATCATACACCCTGTACTACAGCTGTCTCTTATACACATCTAGATGTGTATAAGAGACAGGCTCTGCGTATTTCGAACATGGTATACATTGCAGTTATAACGCTCTAGTATTCTTATTATATCTATGGTCATGCATCAGATTGGCAGGTATAGTATATTAGCGCAAAATAATGTTCAATGCATGTTGATTTTTTTTTTTTTTTTGCAAACATTTAGAAATACTCCGCAGCCTAATCTTCCTGATGGTCCATCGCACATAGTCAGTAATAATTATTATTTCACACGTGATGGAAGGCGGCTCGCAGCACCTCCAGGAGTTGTGTACAAACCTGAATTGAAACAACTTGCAGAAAAATCTGAAAGGTAATCTTGAAAAATATATAAATAGAGCAAATCCTTATATGGTGTTTTTATATCTGGTGTTATGATTGGATAGGTAATTGAAATATTAAATTAATAAGATTATATAATAGAAATAATCTTCCAGATAAATTAAGAGAAAAAATCCATTAAAAAAAATCAATGTAAACTTTAAATACAGAGATCAAATAATGTTCTGTTAATTTCCAGCCAATTTACACAGATAAACAGTTTGTCACTCTTACTACAAACATTGGTTACAAGCTAATTTAAGAATCAATGTAAATATATGGATAGTATCATATTTATATATCTGTTAATTGTAAGCTATTGAATACTTAAATAATGTTTACAAACTAAATTAAGATATTTTTATATTAAAAGTGAAGAATTGTATATAATTGAAATATTAAAGATTTTACATTTTTCTCAATAGTATCTTGTTAACAAAAAAGTGTGTTATAGAGATTAGTTCTTCAAATAACTTGAAAATAGACTTAGACATTTGCAGCTCCAAACTGATTTTAAGCTTTAATAATCAACTATGTTATTTCTGCAGCAGCAAGACTGACCTTCCTGCCAAACGCAAGGGGATAAGACCTGGAAATGCTCACACCTGGACACTCTCAACCGATCAGCCTTACTTATCATAACCTGCCAATTATACGTGTTTACCTTTTTATTTTCTGCAATTACAAAGTGTGTTCAATCTGAAGTTTATTTATGGAATACTAAAAGAAATCACCCATTCACAACACAATGCTTCAATTTACAGTCGCAATTTGATTATGACTTCAGTTAAATGAAAATGTCATGTCAAAATATGCACTTCATAATTTAGAAAATTTTTTTTGGAATACATACAGACAAGAAAAGGAAATCCTTCCTATGCAAATACTGTACCAGAAGCCTAGTGGGCTTACTCTCGAGAAGAAACCCATCTCAAATTAAAGCACCCTCTTTAGTTCGCAAAAGTAGCCTAGAAAAAAAGCCCATCTCGAAAAGAAGCCCATTGGCCTCTCTTCAAGAGCATGAGCTTTTTTTTTTTAGAGATAGTACAGTACATACACTGTACATGAATTTCAAAGAAACAAAATAAATTTAAAACATGCTTGTTTTATACAGTAGATTGTGTGATTTTAATGCCAGTTCATACACTCCATGATACAAATGGATGTTACTGTGGCCCTATATATTGTTTTATAGTAGTAATTTCCAAAATTGACAGTATACACTTTGAAAAGAATCACCCTCTTTACCTTGCAAACGTAGCTTAGAAAAGAAGCCCATCCAAAGTTTGCAAAAAAAAAATGCCCAGGGCTTCAATTTGATGTTTTATTGTACTGTCTACCATATACTTAACAGTAGTTAAGTCCATTTAAATTCAAATGTTTAAAATGAAAGTTGTATTTTCCTAGTGTAAAAACTGTCAGGAAAATCTATTTGTATTATTAAATATATGAGGGCCGACCCAATATGCATGTACAAAAGTTGCAACTCAAAAATTAAATAAATATACTCATAATTAATGAAATCCTACTTTATTCAGCTAGCAGATTTTAACACAGATACAGATGAATAAAAAAAATCACATGTAGGGGAGACTGGGGCTAAAAGTCACAAAAGTATTTAAATCAGCTCTATACATCAAGATTTAGGCTCAATCAGCTTTGTTTACACCTTTAAATGTAGCCTAGCATATGGTCTAGTTAATGGGATTATTAATTATGAATTTATTTTACACAGTGACCCTGGGGAACACTTTTCCCCCACAAAGTCATATGTGACAACTTGCCCCGCACATGGGGCAAGTTGTCACATGTAGTGGGGCACTTTGTCACATGTAGTGGGGCACTTTGTCACATGGTTAAACAAAAGGCAATATATACAAAATAGCTTTAGTAACCTATTTATTTATACAAATCTGAGTTTATAACATGAATTGAACTATCTTTTCTGTATTTTACTGTTACTGTACAGCTGTACAGTATATTTTAAAGATTTTTTTGCAAATGTTTTTCCGCATTCTATCGAACTTATAAACAGTACTTAAACAGTCCGGAATTTATAATACAGTTAGTGTCACTCAAAAATAAAGTCTAGCTGTGGCAGCAAAGTTCACATGTAAAATCTGCTTCAGATTCATTGATACCTGCACAATCTTCATGGGCCCATTCCTCACACATTGAGCACATGATCCAAATTTCTCCTGCAACTGATGCTCCATAATCTTCTTTGCAGTAAAGACATAGCCATTTATTTTCTTCCTCAACCGGTACGTTGTCGTTTGAACTATTCTTCTTTTTTTGTCCTGATGTAGGCCTATCCTTCTCATCTAAAAGTCTTTTTCTGCTTTTTGATTTCTTTTTTTGCTTTTCTTTTTCGAGTTGCTCTTTAACTGGAGTGTCTGTGAAAATCTGAGATTTTCCCTTTTTCCTTTGCGTGGCTCCTGCTTTTTTCGGCTCACGTACTCCAAAAGGACGCACATCCTCAGCATAAACAGGCGATTTACTTGTGCTTGGGAGCTCCGAAATGGATGGTTCATCTCCCTGTCTAATTTCTGTAGCCACTGTTGTGCCTGATGTGCTTGGCTCTTCCTCATCTTTGTTGTCATCAGCTACCTCTAATGGGCGATCAGATGTGTAGCACGAGATGAACTTTTCCGGTGGAAAAATGTTTTTGTCAAATGGAAAGATTCCAGTAGACTTAAAACCAGCTGTGATGTTTTCTGGTGTCATTGCCTTGGGAAAGGCATAAGACACTAATTTGGGGATAATGTGAATAGACATGGACTTGCCAGCATTCTGTGGATCACGCATCCAGTTATCGCTTGCTTGATTGATATATGTCTTTAACGGGCCGTATACCGATTTATCAAGGGGCTGTAACTCGTGGGAGCAGTGAGGCGGGAAACTAAGCATAACAATATTGTTTGACTTTGCAAAATCGATGGCTTCAATCGAAATGTGCGATGGATGGTTATCAAGGATGAGCAGAATTGGTCTTTCTGATGTTGGCTTTGTGTACTTAACAAAGTGGCTTAGATACTTGAGGAATACTTCATCAGTCATCCATCCCGAAGCGGTATGTGATCCTGATGCATCACTTCCAGGAGGTGCTGTCAAAAGCCAATGATCTTGGGTTTTCTTGCGTGGAAAAACAAAGAAAGGGGGAATGGTATTCCCAATAGCATTGACAGCACAGCATAATGTGACTAGGGTTCCTCTTTCCTGTGAAACAGCAGATGCGACTTGCTTAACCCCCTTTGTTGCCAAAACTTTGCAAGGCTTTTGAACGGTTGTGACACCGGTTTCATCGACATTCCAGATCTGATCTCCTTGGAATCCTGCCGGTCTGTTTAAAACATTCTCAAGATTGTTGAAAAACATCGACACATTATGAGGATTAAAGTTAATCATCCTTTGAATTGATGTGGCCTCTGGTTTTCGAATTGAAATGCTGGGGTTTCTCTTCAAAAAGGCCTGTGCCCAGTCAATCCCGGCTTTGTTATTTTTAGCCCAGCTGTTAGGAATATTGGGTGCATCGTTCGCAATGGCCAAAGAATAGGCTAGTTCACAAAGCCCTTGGATAGTAATGCCATAGAATATAGCTGCTGCTTTTTTAGCATATGCAACTATATTTTCTTCCAGTTGAGCGTTTAGCACCAGACGTGGCTGCCCATAACCCATTATTGTTGGATTTGTATTTCTTCGTATATCGCAAGAGTGTACGATAATTGACATCATTTTGCTCAGCTGCTTTCCGCAGGCTTACACCACTTTCATAGGCTTTTACAGCCGCCTCCATTGCATCCTTGTTGAAAGTACCCCTCTCTGTTTTACGCTTATAATTGCGTACCATCTGAAAAACACACAAAAAACTATATTAATTGTATGAACAACATCAATTGTATGAATAATTTTATTAACATTACTCTAGATAGGGCTATCATCAATATATGAAAAAAAAATTTAAAAAAAAATGAAAATATAGCCACTTGCTAGGCTAGGTATAGTATTAGTAGTGTATTATTAAAAAATACCTATATTTACACAATAACATGTTTATGTTTGACCCATTCTCATGCTTAATGCTTGATGAATCCCCAAAATAATTGCCTATAATTTGATGGGGCAAGTTGTCACAGATTGTGACATTTTGCCCCACTGCCATGTTGCATACGAAATGTGCTCATTTCACAACACACTTGAAAATCAAGCCGCCAGGGCTACATCACGTTTAACACTAATATTTACTTATTTTATAACACAAATTTCTCCCTTGTAACCCACAATAATATAGCATACATACCGTTTTCTCTGAATTTTCAAAAAGTTAATCTTTGGGGCAAAAAAGTAGGGTTTTAAAGTACAAGAAATCAAACAATAGCTAATAAACAGTCTTCCGCATGTGCGATGTGCATAACAAGAGGTCACCAATCAGGTCAATAACTGGAACATTCCATGTCTGCACAGGGTAGAAAAAGCCTTGTGACAACTTACCCCTGTGACTTTTAGCCCCTGCCTCCCCGTACCTCAGATGTAATCACATTTAAATTGGTAATTAAATTACAATTTTTTGAAGGTGTAATAATGCATTCGTATTCTTGTGATCTCTGTTGGATGCTGTTATTGGCTGTTAGGATGTTTGATGCATGTTACTCAATAATTAATTTGATTGACAGTTACCATGGTGATATTAAATTGACCATAGCTGTGCTTGCCAGTTTATGGTTTAAAACTTTAGAAAAGAAATGTAAATAAAAGTGAATATACAGTAGTTGAAAATAGTATGTGTGAACTTTATTGACCTCCATAAAATAATATATATATATATATATATATACATATATATATACACAAACATTAGTTCTTATATATATATTAAGCCTTAAAAAGACAATGTGATACAAACATCGTTAATAAATCCACATAATATAGTAATGTAGGCCTATATTCATTACAATAAGTACAATTCTCCCCCCAATTAAAGATCCCTCCAATTAAAGAAAATCTTTCTGCGCCTCCGATATTTCGTCTATTAAACGAGAGACAATGGTTTTGGTAGCTCCACTACTAAATAAACAGTGATCTTAATGCATTTTTGTTCTACAATAATTGTGTTACATATGACTTACACGTAGATATATTAGCCAATACACTGTTTTGTGTATAGCGTTTTTTTCTATTGAATGACGATAATGTTAGTGACAATGTTAGTAATATTTTAATGGAAAGACAAGTTGATGTCTGGCTACCAAGAAATGTTAAGAATAAATAAGAGCATGCAGTTACTGTACAACCAATTAAAACATTTATTTTTTAATTTCCATCTAAATACAAAAATCTAAAGACCACATTTAGTACCCAAAAGTTTCAAGTCTCCCGTAGAGTCTCGGGATGGAGTCTCCTGGAAACTGCCAGGAAGAACTCTCGCATTCTGGTCCACGCGCACGAGCATAAATCTCCCGAAATAAACCGTCTCCCGCAAATTCATGATGATATTTGCATGCTTTAACAAGCTTTTACACTGTAATATCAATTATCTGTGCAGCAGCTAGGACCAATCATTAATGGTTATCACCATGCACAGCAAAATTTAGATGTCATAAAAAAAAAAATCATTTAAACAGATTTCCCGGATGTGGATTCTTCCAAATTGGGACCCCCAATTGAGTGCCTTTTTTAAATTCTTTATTATAAGGATTCTATTAGACACCACTAGACCACTATGGTTATGGAAGACCAAACTGAAAATTTCTACTACTTTAAAATGTATAAAATTGGTTTTAGTTTTTTACGCACTACAGCAAAATATACAAATATACAAAATAGCCGACGTTTTGTGTACAGTGCTCCGTATTGAATGCCATTAGTTTTAGTAAGACATGAAATTGTATTTTTCGAATTAAATGGAGCGGAAGACTACTTCGTGTGTGGCATGCAGTAATCCATTCTAAAACACTTGGAAGAACAAATTCAACCGTAATGCATAAGCATTTTAAATAAATATTTGATGATGATATACTTAAGATGATGTTTTGTCTATCACTGCTCTGTATTGAATGGTTAGTAATGGTTAGGTAGAACGAGCACAGGACTTTACTACCGGGAAATATTTTTAGCATTAATAATAATAATAAAAATTAATAATAATAATAATAATAATAATAATAATAATAATAATAATAATAATAATAATAATAATAATAATAATAATAATAATAATAATAATAATAATAATAACAGCTTACAGTAACTGTAGGCCCTATATCCACTAACTATCTTAGATTTACTATATCATTTCTTAATTCCCCTTTACATAGAGATAGTTAAAGACTACTTTTAAAGCCGGTCTTTAATTATAGGGATTCAAAGTAGAGACCAAAGCTGCTAAAGGCCACTAAAACCCTGGTCCCAAAAAGGATTTTTAATTGGTGGTATGGAGAGGGTGACCTGTGATAGAATTGAGAAAAAGTGGTCCGGCCAAAGCCGGTGCGGTTCCGACGGCCCTGTGACGGCCACCAGGAGCTTCGCTTCGACTTAAGTATTCTCCAGCAATGATGTTACGTCACTCGTTAAAAACTCTTCCTTATCTGTACCCTCTAGTCCGTGAAATCGCCCAATCACCTAATCATCCTCTAGAAGGTTTCTTAAACCATCGCCGCAGTGGCGTATCTAGGTGATGCGTGGGAATGAGATGATTAAAACACGAATGTTGGGAGCCAAAAAAAAAGCTCAAGTACTTTAAAATCACCTCTCATTACCCTATTTACACTTAATTCACGTAGCTAGTTAAACGTTTGCTGTATACCTATCCAGGCCCGCACTAATCGTGTTTTTTTTTTTTTTTCGGTCGTTTCCCGTTTATTTTCCTAGTGAAATTTATTTTTTGAATGGCTCCAACTGGACGCATGTGTCTAATGCTATTTTCCGAAAATTCCCGATGGCAAGGTTGAATTGAATTATATTTAATAGAAAGTCGTACTGTCGAATTCCTGGATAGTCTCTATAAGAAGAATAATTTTGAAAAAGATATAGTGTTAGCCAAGAACATAAATAGCAGAAAAATGAGCTCTTCTCGTAGTTTTGCATTAAATCTGATGGAAATCCGCCCTCTTTAGAATGGAAGAAAATTATTTCATGGAGTGGAGAAACTAATGAAAACAAAGGAACCAGAGAGTTATCCCACCAAGCAAGCAAGCGGTAAGTAAAAACCATAGAGATATAATAAGAATGTTGTTTAATAGCCCTATGGTAAAAACCAATCAAAGACATAGCGCCATCGCGCGGATAGAGGAAAGTTGCTCTCATAAACGCCCTCATGGGGGCGTCTCACCATATCGCGAACTGCTCTATCTTTTGCTAATATTATCTTTGGTGTTAGCCACTTGGAGCTTCAGCTGTTTTTAAAAGGAGACACTGTGGATGTCTCTTTTATTCAATTTATTAATTATGTACTACGAAGTTCTTTAGAAAGTTCGACTAGTCTCCACCATCGCAATAAAGTCACTGTTGTTTAAGTATTTCCTAAGCATATGTTAGCTCCTATTTATACTGACTACTGCATTTTGTTTTGCGATGTGATGTACCAGCTGATTTTCCGAAAGGACACAAATAAAGAAACTTGAATCTTGAAAGCAGTTTGTGTACATAATATAGGCCTACCAGCATCCTTATAGTTATTTTTGTATCCACCATTTTAATTGTCAAATATTAATCAGCCGATTAAAATTAAAATGATACATCATCTTAATGTTGGTACATTGATGTAGGATTTACTCTAGACTAATTCATAGATGTCGATTGGTGAACTTTAAACACAAAATAGAATTTGGTAAATTTTGAAGAGAGTTTAATAATAGGCTTGAAATATATATCTAAAACAAGCAAGAAACCTATAGTTAAAAAACCTTACTCTAAAACTACTTAAGATCGACACAATTAATATATAGTAATTGATTTATTTATATAAATTTCAATAAAAAATTTCAACGGCTCTGTGTGAGGAAAAGGCGAGTTTATAGCATGCATTCCTGAAATAAATAGGTCTTTATATTTGTTTTTTTTTTAAATGGACAGTAGGCCTAAATAAAATACTGTAAACGGAAAAAGGCAATAGTTCCACGTAAGGGAATTGTTTTTGTTAATAGACGAGGGCCCGTGTTTGTACGAGGAACGAAGACGAGGCAGGTTTGGGGGAATGTATTGAATATTAGGCGATTCAATAAACAGACTTGATGAAAAGTAAAGAGACTTAAAAGTCAGCAAAAAATAAATATATTACTGGAACTTTGCGCTGTCGACGAGTGTATGATTACAAAATTAACTCTAATACTCTTGACAATGTTAACTATGAAATATTTAGGCGTATCTTTTACTTCGAAGCTTGACTGGGAATTACATGTTTCCAACATAAAATCAAAAGCTTCTAAATTGCTTGGTTTCATAAAGCACATTTTTAGATGTGAAGACAAGATCATTATTCCAATTGTACATCACCATTGTTAGGCTGATTATTGAATATGGTGTCCGTGGATGGCTTCCATATCAAAAACGACACCTATTTCATTGGAACAAATTCAACGACGAATGTCTATGGCTTGTTTTGTCTCCATGGGCGACTTGTCCTATGTACAGCGAATTAAGCTTCTTGGTCTTTCCTCCATTGAAGACCGCCTCAAAATTCT